TATGGGTTACCGTTACTCCCTAAGAACTTGGAATTAAAAGAAAAAAGTGTTTTTTGAGAACTCAGAGGCAAGATCAGTGTCTTTAGTGGAAATGGGTGAGATGAGCAGTCATCAGAAGGGGAGAGGCTACTAGCTCTCCCTTGCACAAGCCATTCCCTCTGCCTGCAACTTGCACCGTCCTTAACCCCCTCAGGTCTCAGTCCAGGGTTACAGCTCCAGGGAAGCCTTCTCTAACCTCCCTCCTAGGTCAAAGCCCCATTATAGCATCTGGACCTCTTAGCACCCTATCACATTACATTTAACATTGGTATATGTGATTGACTGCTGTCTGTCTTCTTTACCTGACCACCTGTGCCAGGGAGGAAGGGGCTGTTACAGTTTTTGTTCACCATTGTCACCCGAGTATGTAATGCAGTGCCTAAAATATAGTTGGCCCTAGTATTTTTTTTTTAATGAATAAAAAAAAGTCAAAAAACAAACAAACAAAAAAAGTCAATGTGTCCATCTAGAGGAGGAAAGAGAGAGATGGTGAGCCTTAGGAGCACCAAAAAAAAAAAAGCAAAAAGCATCCAAGGGACTTTCCTGGTGGTCCAGCGGTTAAGAATCTGTCTGCCAGTGCAGGGGTCAAGGGTTGATCCCTGGTCTGGGAACTAAGATCCCACATGCCATGGAGCAACTAAGCCCATGCACCACAACTATGGAGCCCTTGTGCCCTGGAGCCCATGCTTGGCAACAGGAAGCAGCCCCTGCGACCGGAAGCCCATGCACCACAACTAGAGAGATAATAAAATATATATATATACACACACACACATATATATATATAAAACAAACATCTAAGTGTTGCCAGGGCCAGGGGGCCCTGGAAGGGGTCCCCCTTCCTGCAACACAAGCACTCTCAAAAGCAGAAAGAAGCTGAAAACTGGACCCTCTTCTGACTTCTACAATTAATATATCCCATTTACACTACTTATATATCTATGAGTGTCTCTGTGTTAGTTGCTCAGTTGTGTCCGACTCTTTGTGACCCCATGGATTTAGATCACCAGGCTCTTCTGTCCATGGTATTCTCCAGGCAAGAATACTTAAGTGGGTTGCCATTCCCTTCTTGGGAGAATCTTCCTGACCCAGGAGTTGAACCTGGGTCTCTTTCATTGCTGACAGATTCTTTTTCAGCCACACCCCACACCTTGTGATATCTCCATTCTCCGATCAGGGATTGAACCGGGCTTCTTGCAATGGGAAGTACAGAGTCCTGTTGGACTTCCAGGAAATTTTTCTATGTGTGGGTATATAATTCTGCCCTTTCCTATCAATAGAGAAGGAAATGGCAACCCACTCCAGCATTCTTGCCTGGAAAATCCCATGAACAGAGGAGCCTGGCGAGCTGTAGTCCACGGGTCACAAAGAGTTGGACATGACTGAATGCACACACTTTTCCTATCAATACTTATTACATTTTTAGAGGTGGGCAGGGCCTCTTTCCACTTTTAATCATTTTTGTTTTCCCAAGAGTGTCTAGTTTATCTTAAACGACATATCAGGACGGTTGCTCCAGACTTCTCCAAATCCTACCCACCTCCTCAACTTTTCTAAATGTCTTTTAGTTCTACATGGGCTTCCCAGGTGGTGCTAGTGATAAAGAATCCTCCTGACAATGCAAGAGACCCAAGAGATGCAGGTTCAATCCCTGGGCTGGGAAGATCCCCTAGAGGAGGAAATAGCAACCTATTCCAGTATTACTGCCTGGAAAAATCCCATGGACAGAGGAGCATGGTGGGCTATAGTCAGGGTCGCAAAGAGTTGAACATGACTAAGCACAGGTGTATGCGTGTGCACACACACACACATTCTCCATGCAAATACTATGGGTTCCTTCCCCCCCCCCCCCCCCCGCCCAGCACCAAACAGATATGTTCATATGGCTAGTGTTCAGTTCAGTTTCTCAGTCGTGTCCAACTCTTTGTGACTCCACGGACTGTGGCATGGCCAGGCTTCCCTGTCCATCACCAACTCCCAGAGCTTGCTCAAACTCATGTCCATTGAGCCGGTGATGCCATCCAACCATCGCATTCTCTGTCGTCCCCTTCTCCCACCTTCAATCTTTCCCAGCATCAGGGTCTTTTCCAATGAATCAGTTCTTCACATCAGGTGGCCAAAGTATTGGAGCTTCAGCTTCAGTCCTTCCAGTGAATATTCAGGACTGATTTCCTTTAGGATTGATTGGTTTGATCTCCTTGCAATCCAAGGGACTCTCAAGAGTCTTCTCCAACAGCAACAGTTCAAAAGCATCAAACCTTCAGTGCTCAGCTTTCTTTATAGTCTAACTCTCACATCCATACATGACTACTGGCAAACGGTAGCTTTGACTAGACAGACCTTTGTCAGCAAAATAATGTTTCTGCTTTTTGATATGCTATCTAGGTTGGTCATAGCTTTTCTTCCAAGGAGCAAGCATCTTTTACTTTCATGGCTGCAGTCACCATCTGCAGTGATTTTGGAGCCCAAGAAAATAGTCTGTCACTATTTCCATTGTTTCCCTATCTATTTGCCATGAAGTAATGGGGCCAGATGCCACGATCTCAGTTTTTTGAATGTTGAGTTTTAAGCCAGCTTTTTCACTCTCCTCTTTCACTTTCATCAAGAGGCTCTTTAGTTCTTCATAATGGCTAGTGTAGATGCCCCCAAAGTAACAGAGATAAGTGTGGGCTTCAACCAGTCACTTTCCAGCCAACAATGGCTTGTGATTTTCATTTTCAGTCTGTGTTACAGCCTGGGACAGCCTGGGACAAAAGCACTAAGAGGAGAAAGGGATCTTCTCAATCAGCTTCTTCATTGAGAGTTCCCTGTATCTAACTTGGGCTTCCCTGGTGGCTCAGAGGTTAAAGTGCCTGCCGCAATGCGGGAGACCTGGGTTCGATCCCTGGGTCCGGAAGATTCCCTGGAGAAGAAAATGGCAACCCACTCCAGTATTCTTGCCTGGAGAATCCCATGGACAGAGGAGCCTGGTGGGCTACAGTCTATGGGGTCGCAAAGAGTCGGACACGTATCTAACCTGTCTAATCTATCTCTGAAATCCGTCCATCCATCCAATCAGGATCCCAGCAGGAGAGCTTCCCAGGGTCCTCCACGCCACCTCCCACATCTGGATGACCTGCCTGCTCAGCTGTTCTCCTCAGAGGCGCTGCCCAGAACCCAGTCGGCCAGTCGGCGGCCAGAAAACCCTTAGGGCGGGGCTGGCAGTAGAGGTCACGTGAGCGGCTGTGACCAATGGGACGTGCACACGGCGCACAGCGCCCAGAGGCGGTGTCTGGCGCTGGGGGGTTGGCGCTCCTTGTTCGCTACCTGCTTCAAACCCGATTGAGAGGGAGGGAACCCAGGTATTGGGAGTACACCACCCCTCCAGTGACCCTGGCTTTAGCCTTCTCAACGTCATAATAACTCAGTGTCCCTCACACTGCCCCCTTCAGTCTGCTCATCCCCATTCCTTCAGCGATAAAAGGAGAGAAACGCGCTGTTTCTTGCTCCGTCTGTGAGGGAAGGAAATGGGAGTGGGGGTGGGGCGCGGCTTGTGGCGTCTACCGCCTCTGACTGAGCGGTAGCTGGCGGCCGTTGCAGGCAGTGTTGGCCCACCAGACAAAAATGCCAGACACAAATAAGATTTTACATACGTAATAAAACGAGAACTCTATGGAAGAAAAAAATATGCAGATTAGGCTGTTGGCTGTCACTCTAACTCAAACGTAGTAGCATTAGTAACTATTCACCCTGCTTCTGCTTTTTTTGAGGTGAAACTAATTAGGAAAACTTTTGGGGTAAATGTGGCAACCGCCCACAGTGCACCTCAGTTTCATAAGGATCGGCGAGGATTACGTGATAGAGTGAGTGTGAAAACATTGGAAAAGGTTTGCAGTAAAATACAAGTTCTAGAATAGTGCACAACTTTGTGAATATACTAAAAGCTACTGAATTGTGGCTCAGACAGTAAAGCGTCTGCCAACAATGCAGGAGACCCGGGTTTGATCCCTGGGTCGGGAAGATTCCCTGGAGAAGGAAATGGCAACCCACTCCAGTACTCTTGCCTGGAAAATCCCATGGACGGAGAATTCTGGTAGTCCATGGGGTCGCAGAATCGGACACGACTGAGCGACTTCACTTTCTTTCTTTAACTGAATTGTGTGTTTTAAAAGTTTGAACTTTATGGTACGAGTTACATCTCAACTTAGAAAAACGAAATATATGTTCTATAAGGTAATCATAGGTGACACAGTCTCAGGTTTGGAGATATCATTGTTGACACCTATCCAGATGAAAATTCAAAATTTTGGTCAATTGAGTTCTTTTTAGAAAATGGATACCATATTTGATGTGGTGGCCAGAGTCTCATCAGGATGCTTGAAATTTCCACTTTCTTAGTGGCATGTAATTCTTTTAAAGTGGAAAATAGTTTGAGATTAAATCCTTTCAGGTGTCTAGCATGTTTTTAATCTAAAAGTCTAAAACCACATGCATTTAACTCTATCATTCTTTAATGCTTTTCAAAACACAGCAGTTTAATTTTGCAACATTTTGGGACATTTAGGAATCATACATTTTTGAAAAACAAAATTTGAAGTTTATCTTTCCCTCATGTTCTTTCCTATATTGACAATATCAAGAAGGAATCGACACTGAATTTTCCTTACCTTAACAATGCAGACATTTTCAGGTCAAATTTAAAGGTATATTTTTATTAAAAGATGAATTTGATCTGTTTTAGTGAATTTGGGGTCATCTTAATTAGTTGTCATATCAGTGATTCAGGGCTAATAGAAAGTAGGAGACTTATACCATGAAGCAAAGTCAGTTTTAGATTTTTACTATGTAAGAACTTTGATGAATAGATTTACACTACTTCTTAATGTTTAAATACTCCAGTGCCCAATTTTATATCTTCAATACCAGGAAAAATACAAGCTAAATAGAATATTTAACTTAGTTTAATACAAACAATATCTTACCTGAGTTCCTTGACATGGCTGAAACTGGCTGGGAGCTGACAAGTTGGGTCATGTAAGCATTCTGAAAACTGTATTTCACCCACAGTGATTTGCAACAATTTGTTACATTGGGAGAGGGATTCAGAAGTTCTTTAGGTTCATAAACAATGGCATCATGTTTTTTCTTCTTCATGTTTTTTTCCTGTTAAAAATATTTTCAGAGGATTTCTCCCATTTCTCAGTATATATTTGGTATGATAAATGAATACTGATATTTTAACACAAACAGCCTTTATTCCATATATAAAAAGGTTTTGCATTTGGGTGGAAGATGTAACAGGGTGATCTGTAAGTTCTTTTTCAACTGAAGTAAACATCTATGTTGTTTGGTCTTTAGATCTGATACATCACCCTGTATCCTCATCTCCCAGCAGTTTCTCTTAATAGTTACATTCCATCCAGGGAACAGTCTTAAATTAGTACACAGAGAAGAGAGACAAATTATTAATAGTATAGCCAAAAGAAAAATAGATTTAAAAAACCTAGACAGGTGGGGAAGACTGGAGATGGAATATATTCTTCATCCTACTTCAGGGTGGGTGGGTGTGTATGTGTGTGTGTGTGTATTTCCTCCCCAGAATGGCTCTTGTATTCCCTCTTTAATACTCCATATACACACAGTCCATCTCTGCAGATGCCAATGAAGGCTATTCTGTGCACACTCCTCCCTTTTCTTCTAATATTAAAGCACCAATTGGAGAAGGCAATGGCACCCCACTCCAGTACTCTTGCCTGGAGAATCCCAGGGATGGGGGAGCCTGGTGGGCTGCCGTCTATAGGGTCGCACAGAGTCGGACACGACTGATGCGACTTAGCAGCAGCAGCAGCAGCAGCAGCAGTAGCAGCAGTAAAGCACCAATCCAGTAAGTTGAAGAACTGATGATTTTCATTGTCTATCAGTGTACTTGCTTATCTTATTTTAAAGGTTGGCCACAGAGTTTGACTTGCTATTTTACCTTCTAAATCTAAGCAGTTAACAGAAAATAAAAGAATGACTGAGAGGTCAAACCATAAAAAACAACTAAAGGTAGCAGAGGAGGCCTTCTGAAGCACTGGGTCAGTACTGTCCAATAAAAATATGTGAAACACATATGTAACATTAAGTGAAAGGGAATAGGTAAAATGAATTTTGTTTTATTTTATTTTATTTTTTAGGTGTATCTATTTTTTTTAATTGAAAACCAAGTGAAATTAGCTGATTTGCTTTAAGGAATATGCTATTTTAATTACTGTACATTTAGCTATTATCAATATTTGATATGCCTATAATTTATTAATTAGTAAAACATTTAAAAATCATCAAAATCCATTTCCTAATATTAGTTTAAAATGGGATAACTATGTCTTACTGGAAATCTTTTTTTTTTAATGAGTTTTTTTTTTTTTCCCAATTATTATTAGTTGGAGGCTAATTACTTTACAATATTGTAGTGGTTTTTGCCATACATTGACATGAATCAGCCATGGATTTACATGTGTTCCCCATCCTGAATAAAATGAATTTTAATATGTTTTATTTAACCAAATGTATCCCTAAGTAAATTTCAGTGTTATCATTTCCACAGGTAGTCAATATAAAAGTTATTAATGAAATATTTTATATTCTCATTAGTGTAAGTCTTCAAAACCTGGTGTATATTTTACAGCGCATCTCAGTTCAAATTAGTCATACTTTGGGTGCTCAATAGCTACATTTGGCCAGTGGCTACTGTATTAGACAATAAATATGATAAAGCTGTATTGCAGCTTTAGAGGAAGAATCAAGAACTGAAAAGAAATGGCTTTTTTTTTTTTTTTTAAGGTATCTGGGGTTTGTTTTATTTATTTATTTTTTTTCATTTAGTCCACAAACATTTATTGATACACAATAGCAAAGCACCCAGCTTTGTGCACGTGACAAGTTAACACTTCTTCCCTGATCTTTGTTATCATTTTGAAGCCCTGTCATGATAAAAATAATTGGGGACCTCAACTCATTTATTTATTTATTTATTTATTTATTTATTTATTTATTTATTTTTAATCACAACCATAGTGTATCTTTTTTTTTTTTTTTTTTCACATGTATTCCCCATCCCGGTCCCCCCTCCCACCTCCCTCTCCACCCAATCCCTCTGGGTCTTCCCAGTGCACCAGGCCCGAGCACTTGTCTCATGCACCCAACCTGGGCTGGTGAACTGTTTCACCCTAGATAATATACGTGTTTCAATGCTGTTCTCTTGAAACATCCCACCCTCGCCTTCTCCCAGAGTCCACAAGTCTGTTCTATACATAGGAGTCTCTTTTTCTGTTTTGCACATAGGGTTATCATTACCATCTTTCTAAATTCCATATATATGTGTTAGTATACTGTAATGGTCTTTATCTTTCTGGCTTACTTCGCTCTGTATAATGGGCTCCAGTTTCATCCATCTCATTAGAACTGATTCAAATGAATTCTTTTTAATGGCTGAGTAATATTCCATGGTGTATATGTACCACAGCTTCCTCATCCATTCATCTGCTGATGGGCATCTAGGTTGCTTCCATGTCCTGGCTATTATAAACAGTGCTGCGATGAACATTGGGGTACACATGTCTCTTTCAAGAAATGGCTTTGAGAGAACGACAGTAAGCAGCAATCTCAGCTAGAAAAACTAAGTTGGGGGATATCATCAGGTAAAGTTCTCATTTTTTAAAATTAGAGGATAATTGCTTTACAATGTTGTGTTTGTTTCTGCCATACGACAATGCCATCAAGTAAAATTCTGATCTCGTTATAATTCAAATGTCTGACATTTTCCAGTGTAGGATGCTATTACAAATTTTGATTATTGTAATTTGGGCTATATTTGGGGTGTGGGAGCTGTGGGATGAAGTGTAGTGTGTGCCTGGTCATTTTTGATGCCTTAGGCTGTCTGACGTTTTAACTATTCTCATCAGGCAATCTTCTAACCTTTATTTGATTTCTCAAGTTAACTTCCCATTGGGATAAGGACATCCTCTCCAGCTAATGCCTCAGAGCCAGATCAGAGCTGGGTACAATTATTAAACTACTAAATGGGCAAAATTGACAATCAAGATATAGTTTCAGGGTGAGAGTCTTGTCTGAAAGAGCCAGCTGACAGCGTTACCCACCAGCTCATTGTGAAACCGTCATTTTTGTACTGGTTGTTCACATGACATTGCTAGATAATTGAGAATAAAGTATCTAATTATGGCCTGTTAAAGTAAATAATTGAGCATATTAGACTTCATTTTCTCCAAATAGCTTTTTATTATAATTATTCCCAAGTAATTCTGTAGGATGTTATGAAATATTTATTGAAACATAATCAGTGCTAATTATACAGCCATCTTTTGGTTTCCATGGAGGATTGATTCTAGGATACCCTTTGGATAGTACATCCACAGATGTTCAAGTACCTTATATAACATGGCATAGTATTTGCATATAACCTATGCACATCCTCCCATATACTTTAAATTATCTCTGAAATGAAGTGTTAGTAGCTCAGTCGTGTCTGACTCTTTGCAGCACCATGGAGTGTAGCCCACCAGGCTCCTCTGTCCCTGGAATTGTCCAGGCAAGAATACTGGACTAGGTTGCTAGGCCTCCATCTCTAGACTACTTATAATACATAATACAATGTAAATGCCATGTAAATAGTTGTAAATATAATGTAAATGCTATGTAAATAGTTGCTGGCCCACAACAAATTCCAAGTTTTTTTCTTTTTGAAACTTTCTGGAATTATCTTTTCTGAATATTTTCTATCTGGTGGTGGTGGTGGTTTAGTTGCTAAGTCGTGTCCAACTCTTATGACCCCATGGACTATAGTCTGCCAGGCTCTGTCCAGGGATTCTCCAGGTAAGCATACTGGAGTTGGTGCCACTTCCTTCTCCAGGAAATTTTCCTGACCCAAGAATTGAACCCAGGTCTCCTGCATTGCAGCAGATTCTTTACCAACTGAGCTCCAAGGATGCAGAACCGATGAATACAGAGCACCAGCTATATTTTTCATCTAAAATTTATTTTTAAATATATCTAAGAAAAACACTAAACTCTTGTTAGTAACAACTATACTAACAGTATAATTGCCTTTACAAAATGCTGTGACTACCTGAAAACTTGAGGAAATCCAAGGATTCTCAAAAGCATAGTCATGGGAGGTATATGGAAGTCTAAGTAATTGTTGAGCTGATACATGTTGTCTATTTAATAATCATTGGTTTGCATTAGGTATCTTCTTATTTCAAGGCATAGTAATGATATTTTTCATTTAAATTGTTTATCTACTTTGGAGGTTGATCTAATTTAATGTTTTAAATGTATGTGAGTCAAGTTTTTATCATTTCTTGCAGAAACTAATTCATCTGAGGGTTCATATTTTGTTGTCTATGTGTGGTAGGCTGAAAAATGGTCCCCCCAAAGATGTCCACATCTTAATTCCCAGAACCAGTGAAGATTATCCTTTATACAGCAAAATGGACTTTGCAGATGTGGTTAAGGCTATTGAAAAGCAGAAATTATTCTGGGTTATGTGAACCTTAACTAATCATATGGGTCTTTATAAGAGGGAGGCAAGAGAGTCAGAGAAGGAGATGTAATAGTGGATGCAGAGGTCAGAGTGATATGCGAAGGAATGCAGGCAGCCTCTAGAGGCTGAAAAAGACAAGGAAACTGATTCCCTCCTAGAGCCTCCAGAAGGAATGCAGCCTTGCCAACCCATTTTAGATTTTCTACCTCCAAAACCATGAAATAATAAATTTGTGTTGTTTTAGGCCATCCTATCTGTGGTCATTTGAAACAATAGGAAGAGAAAACCTATATAGTATGTTGATTTGAGGGCATATTATATTACTGCCAGTACATGATTTGTGTGTGTTAGTCACTCAGTTGTGTCTGACTCTTTTCGATCCATGGACTGTAGCTCACCAGGCTCCTCTGTCCATGGAATTCTCCAGGCAAAAATACTGGAGTAGATCACCATTCCCTTCTCCAGAGAATCTTCCCAAGCCAGGGATCGAACCCAGGTATCACACACTGCAGGCAGATTCTTTACCACCTGATCCACCAGGGAAGCCCACATGATAATTTAAAAAGTGTTCATTGTACAATAAACACAAGAGTCCATATTATGGTGTTTTCAT